ATTCATGTAACTGGATAAAAAGAGTTGCCTTTATTGGAACTTCTGTAAAAATGTAGTATACTTGCAGAATTAAAACTATAAACTATCCATTGTGTATCGTACCCACACACAGAATTGTATATACTATTTTTATATTCTAAATACCAACTGGCAGAAAAATGACAGCTGTAAAGTGTTAGCCATGCAATAAAAAAATAACACGGCTTTGGTATGTTACGATGTGCAGTGAAGCAAGTTTGCTTTACCTTATTGAGCTGCCTGTAGTCAGTTTCTGCTGTATCTCCTAGTCCTCTGTTTTGATTTCTAATGTCTTCAAGTTGCTACAACAGCCCATTGGAAAGAATAGATCAGGTACCTAATTGCCTATGGTGCTGCATGCCTGTTAGAAGGGAGAAATCGGGTTAAATCCTGAGAAATTCCTGAGTGAATAATCCTTGAGGAAAAAAATAAAAAGATGTAAAAAAGACAAAGAAGAAAAGAACACTTTCCGTGCAATGCATAATACAGTCCAGCTGGCTAGAAGGGATCAATGTGTTAATTTTTATCAAGTTGGACAAATCATTTAGATGTCCTCCACAACACATGACAAGCCTTATGCACATACCTATGTTCCACAGAGTCAGATATGAAGTCAGACATCCACATCATCTAAAGAGAAAATGAATAGCTTGAAATAGTAGTTTCTGAAATGACCTCATACATCACATTTATCAGTAGGATCACACATCACAGCATGTTGCTGTGGGTGTAGAAGAATGGATGCTTAATCAAATCCTAATTTCTTCTTCACGTAACAAATTGAAATGGTTACAGAATGTCTCTCGTCTCTCTCTTCTTTCAGGGAGTATACATTAGCCCTTATAACTGAAATTTGTTGTTTCACATGAAAAATAGTCTGAGTTTCCTCTAATTGTGGTATATATGTTGACTCAACACGTACAAAAAAAAATTTAAGCTAAATGCTAACAATTATTTAAGCTAATTCCCATTTCAACTGGTGATTTGAAATGCAGGACCAGGAGCAGTGTCTCTTACAAAGTCCCTGAAAGTCAAAAATTCACAGCCAATTGTAGGTCTACAAGACTGTATTCATTTGTTGGGTTTAGCATTTACCTGCAGTTGTGTGTCTCCCTTGCTTGGTGGACTTTATCGACCTCTGATGTGGTGTGGAGCAGGGCAGCCCCACCTTCTGCTTTGGCCACACTAAGCAGCTTTTAAAGAAGCACCACAACCTCAGTGTTGACATGTAAAAACCATACCAGATGGCCACTTTTTTTTTTTTTTACTTTTTTTTTTTTCCCTTGAAAACCAGATGAAAGCTGTGAAACAAAGGGAGGAAAATGTCCCTGATATTACAGAAATTAGACCTCTCTTTCCAGGTGAGGTTAGTGCTTTGTTTCCAGCGGAGATGCTTCAAACCCCAATCTTGTGACTAGTAATACCACAGCTATGTCAGAGAACTTCCAAAATACCTGTCACTTCACCTGATGATAAATACGGTCTGAGCCACAATTTGTATCATAAAATGGAAGGAAGATCCAGCTAGCACAGATTAAAAAGGTGGATCTAGTCTGGCAGACTGGGAATCAACCAAAACCCCCTCATCAGCTGCACCTGGCAGCGGGTCAGAGCCAGGGTAGGGAGAGCCACGCTGTCACCTGGGTACCTGGCAGACCGCACCCGTAGGACGGGTCTGGCCTAGCACTGCTGGCATCCTAAGCAGAGACTAAAGTATGACCCCATGTCTTAATGTCTGTTAATGATAAAGTTAAGCAAGCTAAAAGCCTACACGTGCGTTAAATTGTCAGGTATACCAGAACTGCATCTTTTAACACCTTCACATCATCTGTTTTTATTCATATCTCAAGGAGTTAAGACCCATGCCGCTGCTGCAAACTAAAATAAAGATATACTCAGGGTGAAAAACAGAATAAATTTGCCTCCTGCCTTTAGGAACTCTCACATTTAGCTCCATTATTGTTGCTATCTGTATTCTTATTGTACAAAGCTCAGTGCAATGCTCACTGTGGGGACCTAGCTTTTGATGAACAAAAAAAAAAAAAAAAAAGCAATTCTGAAAGTTTTGAT